CAATAAAAATAAATGATGATGTTTTTATACTAAAAATTAATAAAAATAGAGAAAGAGGAAAAGTTATTGGTGCAGGAAATAGACCAAGATCTTAAAAAGTATTGCTTGACAGTGGTGAGCAAGTGGAGAGAAATAGGAGAAATTTATTTAATTATAAATCCAAATTAAAGTTTGAAGTGAGGACCCTATTACAAATGTGGAACTGGAACAAGACATGACCAAGTCAACAGTCAGAAATAGGAGAAAAAGATGCTGCAAATGAACAGGAAATGGAGGAATCAAATAAAATTTTGTACCCAAACTGAAAGTGGAGACAGACCACAGCAAACAAGGAGAAAACCTAGCTATCTAAATGAGTTTCGTGTAATGTGTATGAATTTACAATATTGTTCATTAAACATTTTAGATTGATAGAATTGTCAAGATCTACAGAGGAAATCCACGTGGCAGGAGGTGTAGAGGAATACCACAGAAGCAATGGCTGGATGATGTGAGGATGATTTGAGTGAGTTGGGGGTAGGTGATTGGTGGAAACAAGCAGAAGATCATCAAGATTGGGCTGCGATTGTCAGAGAGGCTAAGGCCCTACATGGGCTTTAGTGCTGAGGAGGAGGAGTAGGAAACTTTTCTTTTTCATCTTGTGGCAGAGAAAACCAAACATACAGCAATTTTTAAAGGAGATCAATGATAACCCATATGGATTATTCCTACAATTAGACCAGGAGAGAGAAACATCTGTAAACTTTTCAAACATTTCCATCTCTTGCAAATATGGAGAAATTTAGACGAACGTATACAGGAAACTTTGTTTTCAACCTATTTTAATTCCACATAATTCTGTGGATCCACTCCATATATTTTAACACCCTGAACTAAATAAGTTAATTATCTTCAACAGGGAGCTTATTTCTCATTGCCAGTTGATAAGTTCAAAAAATATGTGGAAAAAATGTACAGGATCAATAATTTATCATTTATTTGATTCAATACAATATGGAAGTAAACACAAAGAAAATGCTAATTTCCAGATTATGTGCAAACTTCCCATAATCACACATGACCAAATGTTATCACTCCTAAAATGCATATGCATTCAATAATTAAAACAAAAGAAATAAGATAAACTGACTCTTAGCTAGATTATCTTATGCCTTAGATTTAATATACAGATAGCCCTCATACAACACTACTTCTACAACACAGTTCAAAAATTTGGAGATATCTCCATACACAACTTCCTTTTTCACTCTAACATGGTTTTGGAAATCCTCCATACAGAATTTCACAATTTTTTAGTGTAAACTTTGTTATTTGATTTTTTTTATTCAAGTAGGCATGCTTTGTCTCAAATTTGCCTACAGATTTCAGAATATTGAAATTTTCAATTTGTTTTGAGCCTTTTGTCAGGTTTACTTTAACAAAAACTGATAGGTCAAGGAAGAAAAAAATTGTACTAACTTTCCTATCAACCAGGTGTTGTCTTTGCTTTCAGACTTTAGTCCTTAAGACTGTTACTCTGTTTTCTTTTTATAGATTAATCTTTGTATTTAGTAAAGTTTATTTAAATATTTTTAGATAAGTACTATTAAACTTTTTTAACTGTAGGTAAGCAATCATTCATAAAATGACAAACTATGGTGGTATCTCAGTACTTGACTGAACAAACATGACCCGCTAGAACAAATTTTTGATTAATAACATTTTTGTTTCATCATCCATAAAAAATTTTTATGATAAAAATAAAAAACATGAAAATCTATTTTGATGATTTTTATTAAAAAGAAAATTCCCTCATTTAACTAAAATTAATATTAACATGTAACATAGCACTTTTAATTGTGATTGTTAATTATTGATTGGAAATAAATTATCAATTACATATTTCTCTTAGTAACAAAAAAGAATAGTATACTTTTGCTAACTTCTGGAATGTAATCCCATGTTTTGCATTAGTCCTTTAATTCAGATAGAATGGATTCAGATAACATGGCACTTTTTCGGAATGTAACTACCATGTTATATGAGGGGTACCTATATATAATTTGAGTTCATTATATTTTATTTACATTAAATAGTGAACAATTAACATTTATAGAATATGTTAGTAAATAATAAATGATAAGTCAGTCATCAAATTGCTTTATTATTTGATTTTAATTACTTTATTAAATATATCCTGATGACTTACAATATACACAGATATAAACAGCATGTCCCATGTAAAAGTGGGACATCCAGTATATATGTAGACACAAGCTAATAACTCAAAAAACAACTTAACTGATGCAAACTGTTTTTTTTTTATGGTTTCAAAAGAGCTTTGTAAAAATAATATTGTATCAGTCCTCACTCTCTTTCATAGCCCCCTATGAAAGGGAAATCATGGGGGCAACTTTCAAATGGAATCCTTGATAAAAGTGTATATTTTTGGATTATATGAAAAAAAGACAAGAAACTTTCATTTGAACATTGTTTTTATAACATGTGTCTATTTAAAGTTACACACTAAAGCTTTGAGTTGATTCAGTTGTTCCCTCTGGTTGTGCAACCAACTATAAAAGATGTACCACTAAATGTGAAAATAGAAATATGGTTTAAGCAAGATACATACAGGTATACCTCGACTTACGTCGTTCCCAATTATACGTCGTTTGTCAAAAAAGTATACGAAAAAATAAAAATCAAGTTTAAGTCAATTTATTCGACTTTACGTCCGTCCGCCACAAATATTGAAGTCGTAATATCACTAGAAAAGCGTTTAAAGCACATAAAATCATATTAAAATATACACATTTACAAGTATGTACTGTATTTACAGTACAGTACATGCATTCGTGAATTTAGATTACTTTTTTCCTGTACTCTATTAAAAACTAAAATTTATTTGTTTGTAAGCTTAAAATAGATTCTTATTAACCATATATTATTAAAAATGCATTAATAAATAAAATACAGAACTGGGAATAGTAATTTATAGTTTAGCCTAGTGACAAGTAGATTCGGAGACAAGTAAATTCGACTTACGTCGTTTTTCGACTTAAGTCGTTTTCCTGGAACCAATTACCGACGTAAGGCGAGGTATACCTGTATATGCTATTAATCCAGGTAATTGGTATAACATGGATAATTCATAGAGAATTCATTTCATGGTCCCCTCATTCACCTGCTCTCACACATCTCAATTACTTTCTATGGAGATATGTCCAAAAAAAAAATTGATGCTCTTACCATTTACTATAAAAGGGACTTGAAACAGAGAATGTGACGTCTGGCTACAGTGACAACTAAAGTATTGCATAGAGTTAGACTAACAGTACTAGAGGTGGGAGCAGAGTGGGCAGTTGTCCCCACACTAATTATCATGGGGCAAAGTATACATTTTGCCCTAACTCAGTTTGTGAAAAAGTATAAGGTATATTTTCAGTGTGCTGTATTATTAATACATAATGAATGTTTATTTACTATGTAATATTTATAAATATTATATATAATATATAATGAAACTTACATTTAAAGTCTTGGTTATTTTCACTTTTTAGAAACACAATTAACTAACAGATAAAATTTCAAATTGAATTTATGTTAAACCATAAAGGGTCACATGGTAAAAGTAATAGAATAAAATCATTCAAAATTGGCACATAATTATTGATCCAGAATTTAATTACTTGGCCTCACATTCAAATATTTTGTTCTGAGACCTCCAAATTAGACAGAGTTTTGTAAAAAGAAAAAATATTTAGCAATGAATAGTCAACAATTTGAAAACAATTAATAAAATAAACAAAAAATACTGTAATTATTGCATTCTCATCAGTTACATTTGGTAAAAAGTTTGAATCAACTTAAAACTTCAACTGTACATAACTTTTAATAAACATGTTATAAAATAAATACACGAATAAAAATAAAAGCTTCTTGTCTTTTTCTGTAGAATCAAAAAATACACATTTTTCTCTAGTGTTCCAATTGAAATTTGTCCCCTATCATATTATGAAAGAGAGTGAGGGAAAGACACAATTTTATCATTGTTACAAAGCTTCTTTAGAACAAAAAAAAAGAAAAATAGAAATAGAAAAAATGATTTACATCAGTCAAATTGTTTCAGCTTGTAATTAGCTTGTATTACACTTTACATGGTGTATAGGTATATATACATATGTACAATACATACATATATAGAAAACCTTGATTATCTGATGTTAGCCCTGGGCACTTGTTGAATGAACAAAACAATAGCTAATGGAAATTTCTGGAAAATAATATATATAAAATTATAGAAACACACATCATATATAAATTCCAACATAGATACACAATGTAAAAGAAAACAAGTCATATAAAATGTAAGTTCCAACACATTCAAGTTTAATTTTTAAAATAGTCAATGATATATTGTTATTTCAGTGTATTCCTAGCCTTAACATAAGCAATGTTCAGAATTCTATGTAAAAGTAGCATTTGTATTACTTTGATTCATCCTGTATGTCAAACCATTAAATACACTTTGATAGTGTAATTTTAGTTTCACTGTGACTATAGTTTTGCATTGTTGTCAACTGTTTTGCCTTCTTCACTTGTGCACTTATTCATGGTTATTACATTTTGCAATAGTTCTTCACCTCTTAAAAGTGATGAAGAACTAGTACAAAATAAGTAGTGCACTAGTGAGAATAATAATATTGTGACCTAATGAGATATAAGCATGTGCTGTTGTTAATACGGTATGAGGTCTCAAGCACTTGATGCACTTCAGTGACATAGTGATTAACAAAGAATGAACATTAATCAAGTGACAGATAAAATAAGTTGTGTTTGTACATATATATTTTGTTTTATAAGATATTAAAATTATTGTATTCTAATAGCTAACATTTAACAGTTTGTGTGCACGCACATGCGCATGCATGCATGCATGCACACACAAACATACATGCATGCATATGAATGCATTCACATGAAAACATACTGATAAACAAATTATTTGTATATATACATACCATACACATAAGACAGTTTGATGTTTGAACTCTAGTAGTTTACATAAAATATTTTTCACTTTTTATTTTAGGATTATTATTTCAACAATTCTTCTTTAATTAACTTCTTAACCCTATTATTAAATGAACAAATTTGTAATCAGCACAAATATTTATCAAAGTCCATAGGTTTTAGAACATACTGTGTATCAATCATTGTTGTGAGGTTAGAATAATCTTAGAATTTGAATCAATAGAGAAAATCAATGAAGTATTATGGACTTGCATAAATGAAATATAAGAAAACAATATAAAGTATTGTTTGAAAGAATGTAAATTTTACAAATTACAAAAAAAGATACAAAAAATAAGATTGTAAAAAATTGATCATAAATTAATGATGGAAGAGGATATGAACTTGTCATGGAATAAAAAAAAAAGAAATAATCAAATAAAGGCAAATAGGAAGAAATTTTTTTTGGTTGTAAATGTATATCTCACTTTTAGTAGGAAAGGACTATCATAAAATCCAGATAAATAATTCATTTGAAGGACAGATAACTGATTAAAAACTAAAAAGATCTTTAAAGTTACTTTGTGAATTAATTTATGAATTAATATGTGAATTAGTATGGATTAAAATGACACACAATTTTTAATTAATAAAGTAAAAATTGTTAAATGTTATTTGTTATGTAACTTATTAATTTAATGAAAATAATATAATTAAAATTTTTGATTATTTCCAATTATTGAAATTTTTGTTATAAGCTAATAACTCAAAAAACCAACTTAACTGATGCAAACTGTTTTTTTTTTTTATGGTTTCAAAAGAGCTTTGTAAAAATAATATTGTATCAGTCCTCACTCTCTTTCATAGCCCCCTATGAAAGGGAAATCATGGGGGCAACTTTCAAATGGAATCCTTGATAAAAGTGTATATTTTTGGATTATATGAAAAAAAGACAAGAAACTTTCATTTGAACATTGTTTTTATAACATGTGTCTATTTAAAGTTACACACTAAAGCTTTGAGTTGATTCAGTTGTTCCCTCTGGTTGTGCAACCAACTATAAAAGATGTACCACTAAATGTGAAAATAGAAATATGGTTTAAGCAAGATACATACAGGTATACCTCGACTTACGTCGTTCCCAATTATACGTTGTTTGTCAAAAAAGTATACGAAAAAATAAAAATCAAGTTTAAGTCAATTTATTCGACTTTACGTCCGTCCGCCACAAATATTGAAGTCGTAATATCACTAGAAAAGCGTTTAAAGCACATAAAATCATATTAAAATATACACATTTACAAGTATGTACTGTATTTACAGTACAGTACATGCATTCGTGAATTTAGATTACTTTTTTCCTGTACTCTATTAAAAACTAAAATTTATTTGTTTGTAAGCTTAAAATAGATTCTTATTAACCATATATTATTAAAAATGCATTAATAAATAAAATACAGAACTGGGAATAGTAATTTATAGTTTAGCCTAGTGACAAGTAGATTCGGAGACAAGTAAATTCGACTTACGTCGTTTTTCGACTTAAGTCGTTTTCCTGGAACCAATTACCGACGTAAGGCGAGGTATACCTGTATATGCTATTAATCCAGGTAATTGGTATAACATGGATAATTCATAGAGAATTCATTTCATGGTCCCCTCATTCACCTGCTCTCACACATCTCAATTACTTTCTATGGAGATATGTCCAAAAAAAAAATTGATGCTCTTACCATTTACTATAAAAGGGACTTGAAACAGAGAATGTGACGTCTGGCTACAGTGACAACTAAAGTATTGCATAGAGTTAGACTAACAGTACTAGAGGTGGGAGCAGAGTGGGCAGTTGTCCCCACACTAATTATCATGGGGCAAAGTATACATTTTGCCCTAACTCAGTTTGTGAAAAAGTATAAGGTATATTTTCAGTGTGCTGTATTATTAATACATAAAGAATGTTTATTTACTATGTAATATTTATAAATATTATATATAATATATAATGAAACTTACATTTAAAGTCTTGGTTATTTTCACTTTTTAGAAACACAATTAACTAACAGATAAAATTTCAAATTGAATTTATGTTAAACCATAAAGGGTCACATGGTAAAAGTAATAGAATAAAATCATTCAAAATTGGCACATAATTATTGATCCAGAATTTAATTACTTGGCCTCACATTCAAATATTTTGTTCTGAGACCTCCAAATTAGACAGAGTTTTGTAAAAAGAAAAAATATTTAGCAATGAATAGTCAACAATTTGAAAACAATTAATAAAATAAACAAAAAATACTGTAATTATTGCATTCTCATCAGTTACATTTGGTAAAAAGTTTGAATCAACTTAAAACTTCAACTGTACATAACTTTTAATAAACATGTTATAAAATAAATACACGAATAAAAATAAAAGCTTCTTGTCTTTTTCTGTAGAATCAAAAAATACACATTTTTCTCTAGTGTTCCAATTGAAATTTGTCCCCTATCATATTATGAAAGAGAGTGAGGGAAAGACACAATTTTATCATTGTTACAAAGCTTCTTTAGAACAAAAAAAAAGAAAAATAGAAATAGAAAAAATGATTTACATCAGTCAAATTGTTTCAGCTTGTAATTAGCTTGTATTACACTTTACATGGTGTATAGGTATATATACATATGTACAATACATACATATATAGAAAACCTTGATTATCTGATGTTAGCCCTGGGCACTTGTTGAATGAACAAAACAATAGCTAATGGAAATTTCTGGAAAATAATATATATAAAATTATAGAAACACACATCATATATAAATTCCAACATAGATACACAATGTAAAAGAAAACAAGTCATATAAAATGTAAGTTCCAACACATTCAAGTTTAATTTTTAAAATAGTCAATGATATATTGTTATTTCAGTGTATTCCTAGCCTTAACATAAGCAATGTTCAGAATTCTATGTAAAAGTAGCATTTGTATTACTTTGATTCATCCTGTATGTCAAACCATTAAATACACTTTGATAGTGTAATTTTAGTTTCACTGTGACTATAGTTTTGCATTGTTGTCAACTGTTTTGCCTTCTTCACTTGTGCACTTATTCATGGTTATTACATTTTGCAATAGTTCTTCACCTCTTAAAAGTGATGAAGAACTAGTACAAAATAAGTAGTGCACTAGTGAGAATAATAATATTGTGACCTAATGAGATATAAGCATGTGCTGTTGTTAATACGGTATGAGGTCTCAAGCACTTGATGCACTTCAGTGACATAGTGATTAACAAAGAATGAACATTAATCAAGTGACAGATAAAATAAGTTGTGTTTGTACATATATATTTTGTTTTATAAGATATTAAAATTATTGTATTCTAATAGCTAACATTTAACAGTTTGTGTGCACGCACATGCGCATGCATGCATGCATGCACACACAAACATACATGCATGCATATGAATGCATTCACATGAAAACATACTGATAAACAAATTATTTGTATATATACATACCATACACATAAGACAGTTTGATGTTTGAACTCTAGTAGTTTACATAAAATATTTTTCACTTTTTATTTTAGGATTATTATTTCAACAATTCTTCTTTAATTAACTTCTTAACCCTATTATTAAATGAACAAATTTGTAATCAGCACAAATATTTATCAAAGTCCATAGGTTTTAGAACATACTGTGTATCAATCATTGTTGTGAGGTTAGAATAATCTTAGAATTTGAATCAATAGAGAAAATCAATGAAGTATTATGGACTTGCATAAATGAAATATAAGAAAACAATATAAAGTATTGTTTGAAAGAATGTAAATTTTACAAATTACAAAAAAAGATACAAAAAATAAGATTGTAAAAAATTGATCATAAATTAATGATGGAAGAGGATATGAACTTGTCATGGAATAAAAAAAAAGAAATAATCAAATAAAGGCAAATAGGAAGAAATTTTTTTTGGTTGTAAATGTATATCTCACTTTTAGTAGGAAAGGACTATCATAAAATCCAGATAAATAATTCATTTGAAGGACAGATAACTGATTAAAAACTAAAAAGATCTTTAAAGTTACTTTGTGAATTAATTTATGAATTAATATGTGAATTAGTATGGATTAAAATGACACACAATTTTTAATTAATAAAGTAAAAATTGTTAAATGTTATTTGTTATGTAACTTATTAATTTAATGAAAATAATATAATTAAAATTTTTGATTATTTCCAATTATTGAAATTTTTGTTATTGCTGTATTTCAAAATGTAATTTATTTTTAAGACATAACTGAATATTTTGTTCATAAAACATAATAAATCTTATAAAAGTAAATATAGCCCCTGTATTTAAATTGATTTAAGGTTTTCTTTAAAATAATTTTCATAAAATAAAGAATAGAAGAAAAGATAATTGGATCATGATCATTATTATAGATATTTCCAATAGCCAAATTGAATTGGGAAATATACAAAACAAATATTTGCTTTTGTATGTCACATTATTACTTTATGAAATGTAAATTATATTGAAATATATTGAAAATATCTTAAAAGTTGTTGTTAAATCAATTGTATAAATTATTTTAAGTTTATGTCTAAAACACCACAAATAAATTTTAATAAACTCCATTCTATAAATTTTTAAAACTAACTTGCCGTAAATTCCACTCTAAATGTTTTATTAATTAAAAATTTGACAATATCAAATTTTTGTAATAAAAAGAATTCATTATTTTTAAAATCATAATTAAATTCATTTAACTTAGATTCAATTCAGGTAGTGACTCTCTTAAAATTCTCAAATAAATTAAATATATATAGCTTATTTATGTTATGATTTAACAGTATCACTTATTTATTAAAGTAACATTTAACATGGAATCTTTCATAGATAAATGAACCATTAATTTATTAATGAGCAAATAATAGATGAAATAGAAACCTAATAATTAATTTGAGTGATTAACTTGGTGGAGCATTTAGCGTGAATTCAAAAGATAAAAAATTTGATTTCAATTTAAACTCAAATTTAAATTTTTTGTTTTGTTTTTGTCAAGCAGGCATGTAGTATGTATATCACATTTATTTAGTGGTTATTATATATATGATTCCATGTTATTTATGTCATCATTTAAATTATATTTTAATAAAAATATTATAATTTTTAATAGAATACATTTAATATAATTATAATTAGTTAATTTAAAATATAAAAAGCGAAATTTTTATTATTAGGATAAACAGCTTAAGTACCATTGTTGCTGTCTTAATTATTAGACTTTCTTTCATATCATTCAGTCATTCTTATAATAGAATAATAGAAGAGGAATATTTAATAACTTAGATTGAAACAATATATACTTGAATAAATGAATATGCAATGGAATTTTGTCTGTCATTAATATTTACATGTATTAGTTTAGCAAAAAACTTGAAATAATATTTATTTACAGTTAAAAAAATAATAATGCATATAATAAATGAATACCAAATTAGCTCTAGAAAATTTACTTACTTTATATCCAATAAATAATGAGTGTTTTTTTTTTTTTTACAAATTTATAAGTAGAATTTTTTGAGTTATGTGTTTGTTTATAATCTTGTATTTCAAATTAACCATATATCCTTCTTTGAATGAAGAACACAAATCTTTCTACATATAAAAGAAAATAATTTAAAATGAATAGTAATAACTAACATTTTAAAATTTATTTATATCAAAATTAAATATTTCCTAAAATAAATGTAATAATTTTTGATTAAAAAGTGATGACAGTTAAAATTTTTGTAATCTTATTTTGATGTGTGTGTTTTGTAAATTTACAAATTGAAATAATTATGCCAAAGACTGGAAAAAACTTATTCGATGTTTTGTTGGACCCATAATATTTTTATTGTTTACCATTTTTTTTGATATTCTCAAACAATAACATGGGAAAACAATTAGTAAACATGTTAAAGGAGATTATAAATACAAAAATTTCCCATTAAAATGTAGTTTTAGATGTACTTCAGAGAAAATTTGATTTAAAAACAAACTTAAATTTTTATGTTTATGAGATTCATATACAAATCTATTATTTTATGAGTTAGTTGATAAATTTTTAGAATAAAATGACATTTTTTTAAAAAATTTTATACATAACTCAATCAAAATATTTTATCTTAAATCTATGATTTTTTGCAATTATAAAATTTTTTCTATATTATTTGGTTCAATATTTATAGCTTTAAACAACAATAAATGCTAATAGTAAACGTGTGATGATTAGTTGCTTCCGAGACGAATTTTCATACCGTCGTCGTGTAAGTTAGCTTTTGTTGAAGTGTAAAGATTAATTTAGTCAAGAAATCACAATGCAGCAGACTTTGGCTTGAGCATTGGTTCGTTGTGATAAATTATCAAAAATTTATTCAATGATGTATTTACAGGCAGTATGGTACAAACTGTGAAACATTTTACAAAGTAAGTACAAGCTGAAAAGGCATAATTGAGAAAATGATTGAAACTGGGTGGTAAGATGGAAATGGCGAGTCAAGGTCTTGAAGCAATCTTCAGCATAGCAGATTCTTCCATTATAAACTTGTCATTCTCAAAGCCATGCTTTGTAGTTAAGAGTTAGAGTTCAGGCTCTTTGAAACATAAGTTTTTCATATATTTTTTAAATTTTTTTTTCACTAGAACAGACAGGATGACAGGAATGTATCATATTCCTCTTCAATGTTTTATCCTGTGATTGCATTGTTTTCAAAGCTAATAAAACTTTCATGAATGCTAGAGTGCCTATTTCAGTGGCAACTAAGTTACTAGGATTGGAGTTAGGTAATAATTCTATACTAGCTCCTGCTATGTATAACAGGCGATAATTTATGCTAGATTTTTCTGATTTTTTTTACATGGAGTGATGATTTTCCCAGAAGAGAAGAAACTAACAAAAACCTTTATATTCTTGACATTTAGAATTAATTATACAACCACCACTTTAGTTGTGTTCAAATAAAATCCAATGCATAGTGTGGTATAGGATATTATAAATTATTTGCAGTCTTGAGCTTTTATATATACTAGCAGTATAGACATCAAGCCAATGGTGAGATCTGCTTCATTTTTTTCTTTTTATGAAATAATGTTGTGCACTTTGAAAAGAAACCATAGTCTTATCTATATGGCTTGAAAAATGTTGGAAAGGATATAAGAAAGCAAGTATTGTTGCGTGGGAAGCTGATTTATGATGCAATGATTATGCTTTCTTGTGACAACAGTAACAACGCAGAAAGGCACATGATAAATAAAATCTCTTAAGATTTTGCAGAGTTTTGATAATCTCTGCTTTTCAAAGTCTGGTGGCCAAAAGTCCAACTTCTGAACTCAGCCAATAACTTTGTAGATTAGTTACTCTTATCACTCTTTCACTTTCTCTGCTCATTTAAAAGCGGCAGGAAAACTGAGCTTTGTAGAGTGTTTTTAAAGGTACAGTGCAGAGGTATTAGGACATGAGATAATTAAGCATTGATTTTCCCACCCCTATACCCTCAAAGCTGTATACTCCTTTTATAACAACACTCTTGTAACATAGCTGAAGTTGTTTGCCACCCAATTTCACAGCTTGATGCTGATAACATGAATCTATTCGTAAGTGCAAAATTTTTAATGCCATCAGCTTAGGAAGCAGAAAAACTGAGGAAGATTCTTATAGATACATTATCACTGATAAGGGGAATGATCCCCTTACATTTTTATATTTCTTCTTATAAGAAACCCTGTTCTTAAACAGAATCTTTCGAATTTAGTTTTTGAAAACAGCTAACTTAACAAGAACCACCTCCAACCCACCTGTGAGTTGTTACTGATACAGAATCATATTTCTATTGGAATCACATTTACATCCTTCACATTCTGTGTAAATGGTGGGCACTGAAGTTTTCTAGTTAAAACATTCATTTCATTTGGCATTGATTAAATGTCCAAAGTGCTAAAAAATAAATAAATTATATTAGGTAACAAAAACTTAAATAATTTGCATCTCTTTCCTTTGAATAAATTTAACATGTTAGAGAAGCAGTACAAATTCTGCTCCCATTTATGTATTATATATAATATATATATATAATTTATATACACAAGTAAAAAACAAACTTTCAGAATAATGATAATAACAAATTTAACAATCACTCTCTAGTAATTTCTGACATATTTTTCCTTTAAACTCTGGAAACTTTGTAAATAAAAGCACTTTGTTATGTCATAACATCATATGTAATAAAAAATACATTCTAAAATCCGTAAAATGTCTATAAATCATAATATATATAAAACAAAGTAAAACTTAGATGCCTCCACATTTATCCTATTGTAGCAACAAGAATGGGACCTTTATCCCTTTTTTTAGTTTGCATATTTACAAGTAGTGTAAATAGACCATAATTACAACTAATCAGTCATTAGAAAAATAACATGGAAAACATTGGTTTATGTCAACCAAGTACAGGTGTTGCAAGCAGACTGGTACTCAACCCGTGCATAAAGAATATAAAAATATACACTTCATGCAGATATTGTCAGCGATCATTCATCAACCAATTTCTGTGTAGATAATGTTGATGTAGAAAGCCCCCATTCCCTGTTTATAAATATCACACATCTGTGGAACGACTTGTAACACTTGGTGACCTAGAATGAATCACAACTTTGTGACCATTTCTAGTTACATGGCCATCACTTTCAATAACAATTGCAGTCTGTTGCTGACGAGGTTCAGTAGCACTACACCCTTTATAATGACGCCATGCTCTTTGAATAACACGAGCATTGTATTCTTCCTGTTGACGGAAACGCGTACTGCTGATTGGTTCATAACCTTCTACATCTTTCCTAGGAGCAACTTCTCCAAGCTCTGCAGATTCTTCTATAGCAGTACCTTTTCTTGCAAAGAAATCCTTGGTCAGTGCATCTAGAATGTCGACACAATACATAAGATCATCTTTACATATTGTGATATCCATGTCAATGATTTTGTACTTATTAGGTTTCTCAATCTGCAGTGGTTCTTCTAGAGCATCAAGGAAGTCACTCAAATCTTCATATTTGATATATTGTGTACCTTCTGGATCATATTTCTGCCATATTTCATAATACATATCATAATCATCTGCTGTCAAGCCTTCCTGTACATCTTCTGTGGCTTGACTGTAGTTTTCAAGAATGACGGCAATATACATATTAATTATAATTAAAAAGCTGACAATTAAATAGGAGATCAAGTAGGCAACTGCCACACCTGGTTTACCACAATTTCCTTCAATACCTTCATCTTCAGAACCTTGTTCACAATCACTGTCGTCCATAATACCTAATAACACACTATCCCAACCTGCTGATGTTGACATTTGAAATAAAAGAATCATTGATTGACCAAATGTTTCAAAATTAAAATTATCATCAATGCCTGCACGATGTTTTACAGTCATGAAAAAAGACATTCCAAATATGGCATAGATAAACATAACTAGAAAAAGCAGAAGGCAAATATTAAAGAGTGCTGGCAAAGACATGGCAAGAGCAAAAAGCAAGGTTCGAATCCCTTTGGCCCCTTTGACCAACCTGAGGACACGACCAACTTTCACAACACGAACCACACGAAGAAGAGTAGGTGACACAAAATAACTTGCTATCAGATCTTTGATTGCAATGCCTATAAAAAGAAAATAAGAATGTTATGCATCTTTTCACTAAATAAATTATAATGCAATTTAAATAAATTAATAAAATTTAATATATACTTGGTAATCTAAGTCAGCTAATTGAACTATATTTTAAAACTATTTTAAAAATGGTTAAAATTAGTTTGGAACAGCTACATGTTGTTATTCATGATTCCAATTTATTACTTTCTATGAAGTGACTAAATCATAAATAATAACACACAACTTCTGGATCACCTTGTATATATAACTAAACTGATCTGTACAACATAAATCTGCTTTAGAGAGAAATATTGTATTTAGTCTAATAAACAGTGCACTGTCTATAACTTGTGCAGCTTGCAACTTATATTTAACAACTTTCAATGTTATATACATTTTAGAATAATGGCATTTTTTATAGAATAAATTTCTGTTTTCAATTATTTACAATTTTAACTTTAATAAATTATTCTTAATATATAGTCATTATTTCAATTAAATTATATTTATGATGATGATACTTTTCTCTTTGCAAACAGAATATATATTTCAAAAATATATATTTAACAATTGAGGACATGAGTGAGAAATGACAAGATGCTATCTTAGAAAATCAAAGTTTTGAGTGAACTGATGTTTAAATTTTTACTATGTAATTTTTTTTGGTATAAATATATGCACGAAATAGTGTAATGCAGACAATATTACAGTATTGTTTAATTCCTGAAATCTTTAATGATAGTATGTGAGAGATGAATATATTGCACCTTCATCCATGCAACAATCAAGTTTTGAATAATTGTAACATAATACCTTCATCCATTCATGTATTCAATTGTAAATCTGATAATGAACAAAGTAAATAAAATTTGGATTACAATTCTTGACTTTGAACTAACACTGAAAATAAATATGTTAGAAACCATCATAAAAATTAACTTATGAGCTATTCATTAATATGAAAACTGAATGTTTGTACAGTAAAATCTGTTTAAAACAGAACTCCACAATACCAGTCAGAATTTTCCCATGATGACAGATTTGTATTCTATAGAGGGTTGTTTTGATTAATATAGGAAAAGAGAAAAGTTGAAAAAATCTTTCACAATTCATATTTAGAATTGTTTCTCCTCCAATGTAAGTGTTTTATCTTTCAAAGACATGTTAAAAATACCAAAATATGCATATAGTGTACAGAGGATGCAATATCCTTGGAATGTATTTTAATTGAATTTTAATTTAGCTACGGTTATGCTGATAAATTCCATTTTATTCAGATTATGTTATGCAATTGTTACCCAAACAGTCTTCTGTTTCTAATCAGACATGTTCCCAGTTTATAGTATTTTATATAGAAAATCTTTCCATTCTGAGGCTTATGTTTTATTTAGGCAGGTTCCTTTTGTAGCAGATATGTTTTGAAGAGATTTTACTGTATTTTGTTATTTTCTATTATGTTGAAATTTTAATTTTGGTTCTTATATTAAAAAAAAAATATTCATTTAAATTAAAATTTTAATATTTATTAGGCAGTATAATCAGTGACATTTTCTTCAATATAATTCACATAAAGATTCAAATAATAATGGCTTTTAAATATTAATTTTAAAATATAAAAAAAACTTAAGATTAAAGGCTGTAAATTAAAAGTTTAATATCAGAACTCATTCTTGATACCAATTTCAAAATAAGATTAATTATCTGCACATGCTGAGTAAATACTAACTGTTGTGTGCCCAGTTTCTTTTTCATTCTTGATCATATGAAATAAATATGTTATTAATTATATATTCCAATATACTTGTGCCTTCTCACTTTTAACTTTTCAGAAATAAAATGATTTATATTTTTAATTTAATATTAGTTAATATATAAAAAAAAACTTGATCAATATAGGATTGCACCATTATCAATTAATTTTGTAAGACAAAATTATGTGATTATATCTTATTAACATCAATTTAGAAAATTATAATTCCTAAACTATCTTACAAATATCTTGATTTCATCATTCATATCTTTCTACTTTGAACAATATCTAAATAATTTACACATTGAAAACAAACATTGTGATTATCAAAATGTGATGGTTTCTTATAGAATGATATGAATAGATCCTTGATTGCCCATAAAAATTCTAATATCCGAAAACATTCCTTAACATAACCCAACATAATATTTCCATAACATAAGCCATATTATTCCTTTTTTATTCAATCTACATTATTGAAGATTATGAAGAACACAGAGAATGAATCTGATGACTAAAACTATAATTTCTTAAACTACTAGTAGCCTGGGACGCCCCCCCTAGTGGGCGTTATTTACAAATTTCCATGAGGCACGGTTCCTTTGACTTTCTTGTTCCTATCAATATGCTGTACAGCTCTGTTAAAGTCCCAATGGTAAGATTTACCCTCCAAATGAAGAGGTGGCGACCCCCCAAACTGTAGCCCCTGTGCAGACAATAAAGTCAAAGGAACCATACCCCTACTCACGATCCTTCGCGAGATATAAGTCCCTGAAATAATAAATTCCTATTACAAATATACTGAATTATTTATATTGTTATATTGACCAAATAATAATTTATGGGCCAAATGAATAATAATAATTAAAATTGTTAATTTGAATGTTTGAAATATGACACACGATAGGGGCGCCTCTAGTGTCCGTTATCAAACGGTTACGGGACGGACACGAAATGAATGGGTTATATATATTAATAATAGTTTTTGCTAATTATCTGAGTTTAAAAAATTACGGTTAAAACAAACAAAGCATCATTCTGAGTCATAATTAACTGTTCTTTGTAGTTATCGTAGTAAATCATTATTTTATAAAGAG